GGGCTGGGAGTGTTGGCGCGAGACGGGCTGGTCAAGCCGGTATCGCTCGTCAAGTCGGCGGTGGAGGCGAGGCTGATGTTGCTAGCCATGGAGCGACGACGGGCGAAGAAGGACATACCCGGGCGGGCTTCGGGCTCCTCATCTTCGGAAGGGCTGTGGAGCGCCTTGGTCAAGAGAGAGGCGTTGTGATCGAGTGTGGTGCGTCTGATAGGGTTCCGCTTGAACATGCTAGTGATGGGAGAGATGGGCAGCTGCGTTTCCGGGGGTTCGTCGGCGTCGGCGGCCTCGTCTTCTATCATGGAGGGCATATTTGCGCAATGTGTTGACCAAGCCAGGACATTTGACGTCGCAGCGTCGTGTTGTGCTGTTCGGTGCGTCATGGTGGAGAGGTGATGATGTTGGTCGAGGTTGGGTGCAGGGGTGAATTCGGGCTCTCGGCTCGAGGTGTGGCGAATGGTTGATAATTCCAGGCCAAGTCGTTCAACGATGCTTCTAGCAGGCGCAACCGGTCGAAGATCGACTTCGTAAGAGCTGTTGAGAGTAACAGCAGTAGTAGTAATAGCGAGGCTGCTTGCGAGAAGCTTTTCTAGTAGTAGTTGGTGTTGTTTTGTTGTATGAATATGTTGATGAGAGGGTGTGCCCTCAAAAGGACGTGCAGCTGAAGATCGTCTCGAAAGACAAGTGCTGCGGATCAAATCGTGTCCCTAGGGACCGTTGTGCTATAAGAACAAAACTGACATCTCGAGGAAAACAGTGTGATGTGTAGTGGTAGTAGTTGCCGGGCAGATGAGGGAGATTATAGGATGACCGGGCGTTGGCTCAATGTGAGGCGCGGTAGTGCGATGATTCAGGGTCCTTGGGGGTACAAGAATAACCAAATCGGCGTGCGCGCAGATCCCAGATGAAAAGGGCGAGCGTGAGTTATGCTGTGTATGGCCGTGGGCGTGGGCACAAGGATTGGTGTGTGCTGGGCGAGCAGATGACGTCGGGCCTAGCGTGGCGCAGGGAAATGGCGAAAACAGACGGAAAAGGATGGGAGAGAGTGAGTCTGAGGGAAAGGGAGAGAAGAAAGGGCGCTGGGATAGATGGTCGGACAGCGAGGAACTTTAACAGGTTCCGGGAGTATTCTTGGCAGTTGGAGGACCAAGGTGGGATGAAATTCAGGATTTTCAGAGGCTGAGGGCTCGAGCGCTCTTGTCTCCTTTGCGGCTTGCCGAAGTGTGCGTATGGAGCCTCCGTACGGTGGGCAGTACGGTAGAAAGGTACGGAGGTGCGTCTCAATAGTCCTTGCAGTTGCTGCCAAGACCAACCCCTGCCATAGACAGGGGAGTCGACAAGGGGCTGGCTAGGGTGTGTACAAGCGGCAGAATTCGGCCACTTCCACCCACTGTAATTATCGTCAATTCAGCGGTAAAAAGTCGTCAATTGAGGTCAATTAGTGGTCGTTTGACGGTATAATCCAGCCCGACGACCCTCTTTGTATTCATTGCCGCCCTCTAGGGCAATTATCTGTTGGATGTGGTGAGGTACCCTTTCTATCCATTTCTGGATCTCCTCTTGCGGTAATGCTTTCCAGCACTCTTGCCAGCGACGTACTGCTTCGGCCCGTGACGAAGGCGCCCCCTTCCTGGTGGTCCATCTCTTCATCCACGGCCAGCAAGGTTCAATGGGATTGAGGTCGGGCGAATTACCCGGCCAGAGAAGCTTCGTAATCTCGAAAAGGCTGTACGTATAGTGGGTGAAGTGATGGTCGTGAGCGGGTGCCTTGTCCTCTTGTACGATTGGATTACCAGGTAATCCTTTGATATAAGGGAATAATTTGGGTAATAGGATCTCTTTGCGGTATCTGTACCAGTCAATTCCGCCCTTGCCGTTCCGTATTAACTTGCCCGACTTCGCATTCCAATTGAATTGGGGCTTACGGCCCGGTTGGTTCCGTAAGCCCATTCGCTCCATACCACTCTCGAGCTCCCACTGTTGACGTCGAACGGGCTCGAGCTCTGCGTTAAGCTCGGTAATCACTGCGTCGGCAGCCTTCCTCTCAGCAGCAGTCTCGGGAATCCAACAGTGGCACGGCCCTTTCGAATCGTATGAGAAAGACCCCCAAAACATGAATTCGGAATAACCCTTCCACCTCTCTCGTATGCACTGCCTAGAGTAGGCCTCGTCTGGGCGACGCCAGAGCTTATAGCTACCGCGGCGGTGGTTGAGGGCAACCGCGGTCTCGTCTGACCATACAACCCGCTTCCAATCGTCGAGGGTCCAGTATTGGTGGTCGAGGCACCACTTAAGTCGCTCTTGCCGCATCCTTTTCGTTAAGCCTGGCTTGCGGGTTGGTTTGGTCTTGTGGAAGCCATAGCGACGAAGGATTCGCCAAACAGTCATTGCAGATACGTCAACGCCCTCGTCCCTTAATAGGTCCCCAGCAATATCAGTACAGTTCTTTTCACGCCCATACCGGTCGCGGCAGACCTTGCGGATGACGGCATCGTTGACCTCTTTCGTCTGTTTGGTTGGACGGCCACTTCGGGGGGCATCTTCGTAATGGGCGGGCTCAATCGAGAAGGTAGGAGCAGTTGGGTCGAATCCGTTCTTTTTTGCGCGGGCAAGAACGTCGTAAACAGTTCGAACTGGAATTTCTAGAGCCTGAGAGACCTGTTCAGCAGTCCACCCAACAAGTCGACTTCGTAGAGCAAGAATCACTGCCCTGACGCCTGGATCTAGCTTCTTCTTTGTCGGCATCTCAGGATCCATACTGAGGAAAAAAGAGCAGCGTAGTAAGTAGCGATTTGGCGGTTTTGATATTATCGTAGGATTAGTGGTAGTATCGTAATGGCGGTGTATGGGGTAAAATCGTTGCTATGGGCAGTGCTGGGGGGAAAGTAAGTAAAGTGGGTCAAGATCAATCCCTAGGCTCTTATTGGTTCAGATGGGCAGTAATTGTGGGTCTGGGGCTTGGCAGCGACTGCAAGGACTATTGAGACGCACCTCCGTACGGTAGAAAAGTACGGTAAGGTACGGATAGGTGGTCGAGAAGTGAGCTGGGAGAGGCCTGACTTATTGCTTGCTGGGACTGGGAGGAAAGGCGACCGACCAAATAGGTGGCGACGGGTAGAGGCCGCGACTAGGGGAGGTCAGTTGGCCAGTTTTCTTTCGTCAAGGGCAGGCAAATCCCTTTACCGCCTTATTGGTGCTGCCGTTGCCGCGGGAGGTGTAGGTAGACTGGTGTGGGTGTGGAACGTGGAACGTGGAACGTGGTGCGGGCCTGAGAGGTGTGTGTGTAGGTATTTGTCTGTGGTGCTGGTGTGTGGTGTGGTGTGGATGCTTCTCGTTTGCTAGAAGACCCGAAAGAAGAGTTGCGGTGCGGCTTCAGTCAGCTCCAGCGCGCGACGAAAGGACAGCGGGAGTTTTCGTGGCAAGCAGGAGGTCGGGAGAAGCGTCTGACTGAGAGGGGAAGTGGGCGTGAGGTGACTGATTGATGGATGATTGAGAGAGAGAGACCCTCAGAGAAAGGGAGACAGAGTATCCGTAAGTGGGCGCGCGCAGAACGCAGCATGCAGCTCAGTATGTGGTAAGAGTGGGTTGTTGACGGGTGCGTGGGATTATGGATATCCGTCGCGAGGAGAGTCGCGGGCGTTTTGGTTGTGGTGGTTCTCTTGGTAGTCGTTTGTGGTAGAATTGCTCGTCAATGCGTATCCGTACACTCTTTCCGTCCGTCGTCCTGGTTGATTTGGATTGGAGGGGAGAGAGACCTGATGGCTGTAGGTGTGTGTGTGGTGGTGGTTTTCGGGGTCAGGTGGGCGAAAGGGCCGGGGTGATGGATGAGAGAAACAATGGCAGGCCGCAGGCTGCAGAATAAGGTGCAGTTGGCGTGTGTGGTCTAAGGTGGTTTTTCGGGGTCTTTGTGTGTGTGTGTGTGTGTGTGTGGTGTGCGTGGTGTGCGTGGTGTGCGTGGTGTTTCTGCAATCTGCAATGGGAATACTCCGTGAACAGGGAAGACGACGGGAAGCTTCCTGCGAAAAGGAAGACGCGGGGTGGATGCCAGATGGTGTATGTGAGGCAGTGGCAGCGGCAAGCAAAAAGGAAACCTAAGCAGATGATATCCAATAGGTAGTCTGCACGGCGTACCGTAAGGTAGATTGATTTGCGAGTGCCAAGATCCAAAGCAAAGGGCAAAGGCGGATGAAGCGCAAAAAAGGGGATGAGATTGGGGATGTTGCCTTTCTCGCTGGGCTTGGCGAGAATCAGAGTAAGGTGTTTGAAGATCTTGGCGGACTTGCAGAGTGAGGCGCTGCTGCAGGCTCAAGCTGCGGACTGAGGCATGTGCTGATTGATGCCGAGTGCCAAAACAACCACTCTCTCTGCCTTTTTTGCTACTCCTTGGCAAAGAAGCAAAAGGAAAAGCAGCTGATGCAGCAGATAACAACAAATTCACTGCAAATGCAAGTTCCAATACTCACAATACCTTAGGGTTTTGTTGTGATGCGTCTTTTTTTTTTTTTTTTTTTTTCCCTCAGCGCAAAGTCTCGCAGCCCTTATTTTCACTTTTGCAATACGCACTCCAAAGAGGGCGAGAGCTTCTTGTTGGGTATTTTGGTAATTTTGGCAATTGTTTTTTCCCCGAGTGTCCATACTCCAGAGTCCAGACTTGGTTTGGTGTCCCCATTACATTCTCTGCTCTACGCCCCCGGGTACAAAGTATGAGTGGCAGAATTGAAGATGGCCCCAACTCTTTTTTTCTCTCAAATTTTCAATGGCGCTCGGTCCGGTCTCCCCTTGGAAAATTTCCTTCGTCTAATTTTCCGTGGGGATTCCGCCCTTCTTTCGAGAATTTTTATTTATTTTTCCTTTGACTGCCTGCCTGGCTTCTCCCGTATGTCTCCGGGGGTGGCACGGATTGGGGAAAAAAGGAAACTCAGTGTCAAGTTCAACTTGTCAATGGCCCTGAGGTGGGACCCCCGAAAAACACCGCTACACTAGTCCGGGGACACGCCTGTCGTTCAGGGCTCGCAGGGGCCTCCCCATTTCTCATATCCACCGTCGGAGTGAAAGAGACACAGAGGACCATCACCAAGGGGGGCCAACATCGTCAACAGGCCAACACCAGCGCGGGAGATGGAAAGACGGATCGGAGTAGCGGGCGCCACACAGTGTTCAGAAACAGTGTCGAGAACCTCTCTCAGGCGGTGATTTGGGTGGAAACGCCCAGAGGACGCACGGCCGGAGCGACCTTTCGCGACTTCCTCAACCTGCGCCGGCGTTGCGGGAATCTGCGGCACTTTTCTCGCCTTGCGTCGGGTACCGCGCCAAGCAAGTTCAAGCTTCGCGCCGAAAACGGAGCTAGCCGGGTGGGGCCCAGGTGACCTCAGACGAAAGAAATTCCTCACTGTGTATCCCACTATTTTATCGTTATCTGATTGGTTAGGAATTCTGCGACGAATAACCGTCAAACACCCGAGTATCCCCATCCGTCCACCCACGGTACGTACCCATTCGAACGTATCCGCATCCTTGCTGACAGCACGTACTCCGTACCCAATCCAACATCCCTCCCCAGTTCTCAACCCACGCCGAGCACCCTGCCCTTGCTCCTCAAGCCCTTCCTCACCCCCCTGTCTTCCCATCGACAATTCAATCGACAATCACAACGAAAATGGCAAGGCTGTGGTCCTCATCGGCTCTCGCCCGCTGGCCAGTGCTCTCCCTCCCTCTCTCTCCACCTCTCTCTGGTGGGTGACCATTGCTGGTCCTGCCAGTGGCTGCGTCTGTCCCGCCAAACATCCACACTTTGCTCAAATCACTCTGCTAACCGCTTTTTCAAGGCAAAATACGGATAGAGAGGAGCACTTGCGAAATACTCCGTATAGGTCGAAGCTGGCATCGGCAAGGCATGGTCCCAGGAAGAGGATGGAACGAAGCTAGCACCACGTCGGCTTCCCCTGCTAGGGCCGAAGAGGAAGAGGAAGGGAAAGGAAGAAACGGATCCCGCGCGCCATCTTTTGAATCTTGCATCTGCAATTCCCTACTACGGCCCACGGAGTACTTCGCATGCAGTAATTACTCTAGCCAGGCCGACCGTCTGACCAACCATCATCCTACCCACCCTCCCTGGCATGGTCTCATCTCATCAAAAAGTGACTTGCGTCTGCCATATCTTGTTCGTATGACACGCAGGTCACCGCTGGTTCACCTGGGTCTCGGGAGCTAACTCTCTTCTCCAGTCATCTTTTTTCCAAGTTTCTTTCGGGGGCCCCAAATGTCGACGCCGTCAAATCACCGACTCACCACTCCACACAGTCGCGGTCATCATCCGTGATCCGTCCATCCAGAACAGCTTTTGAAATTCCGTCTTCAGTCTCTCGAGCGAAAGGTCTCAATGTCTCTCTCCCGACTTGTCGTCCTCCCACACCCCCTCGGGCTTTTCCTCGACACCCATACGAATAGAGCCGCCTGCGTTGCAGATGCAGTGCAGCTGTCTTGTCTTGTCGGTGTCCTCGTGAGGCAGCCGTCGATTCTCCTTGGCCCATTTTCCACAAGTCTCATCCCATTCCTGTGTCGAGAATCCCACGCTCCAACTCGTCAATCTCCAGCTCAGACTTTCACCTTGACACAGTCTCTGCCCAGCCTTCATTCATCATGCCCTGACCTACCTTGCCCTGTGGCCAGTGTGCCAGTCAAGTGACTCCAGTCTCCAGGCCCTCCAAAGGCGCCCCAAACAAAGTCATCCGTCGTTTGTTTCTCTCAACCCCCTTACTCGGCTCCGTTCTGTTCTATTCACGGAATGCCGTTGTGTCAATATTATTGTTGACCCGTTCTTACCGAGGGAAGAAACCCATCAACAACATGCATCCCCAAACGCAGTGCCTTGACTCAACGTCCCTTCTCTTTCCCCCCGTATGCCCGCAGGAGCCACCCATTGGTTTTGCGTAGAAGCAGTCCATCAAAATGAGACATTTTCCTCCATTCCCCAGCGCTCAGTTCGACTGCAAAGACCAGCCATCCTCGTCTTACAACTTCAGGTACACCCGCTTCCCGCAACGCTGCAACCTGCACCCCCTTCGCTTACACTGCGTTTTCCCGCCTCCTCTTGAGCACTTTTTTTACAAGTCTAGAGGGATATCCCCCCAAAGTGAACACCCAAAAGAACGCACTTGAACTTCTTGGGTTCTCAATTACTCCATGTCACGTACAGGCAACCCGCCGCCAACATCAGACGGAACGGGGCCTCGATGCTGGGTACAGGACCGTTGGGGCCGTCTCCGATTGCAATGTAGCTCAGGCAGCTCAGCCCTTTAGATCTCCATGCAGCCAATGCGCGTTGCCAATGGCATTTACCAGCCATGGAGACAAGAGCCCAAAAATACGACGGCGGCGCCCGTTGTTGTCGTTGCGCACCATCTAGAGTAAAACCCTTAGTGCCGGCCGCGCCCATCAACACCAAGAAAGTCTAGAGTCTCTTCTCTAGGTAGTTGGTCGCTTCATCTTTCCCAAACCTTCCAAACAAAACAAATCTCCATCGACGCTTTCAATAGCGCTATTTTGGTTTACGTTTGTGCCTTTCCCGGTTTCTACACACTGGGCAATGGCGGTGCTGCTAGCTGCTTCGTCCGACAGTCGGCGGGCTGTGCTTCCACATGCAAATCCTTGTCCCCTAGCTTGTGTCGTTCTCTCTCTCGAAGGAATGTCACCCATCCACTGTTATTAGAGAAGAGGAGAAGGAACTTCCTTCACTTCCACGAGAGTGGCTACGCCTCCTGCAAGCCCACCGCCCATCATCAGAGAACAAGCTTCGGTCCGACAGCCTCCATCCCGGACCATTCCTCTTCCTGACTCGCCCGGCGCATCGCGAGTTGCCAAGTCTCGGGTTACTGGAAGCGCCGCCATCAACCGCCCAGGGAAACTGTGACATTCATTTTATCATAAGCCGAGCGTCCTCTGAGCTTCTGCCTGCAGCTGTTGATATTGAATGTAGCTGTACCTTGCCGGCGAGCCGCTGGCATGCAGGATCCTCCCTCCCAATGCGAGAGATATCCCGTGGCCATCCCGTTCCATGATGCATAGGCTCAGGCTCAAGCTCAAGCTCAAGCTCAAAGCTCAAAGCTCACTTCACTCAGCCTTGGAGAATTGGCATGCAGCATGACGGCAGCCAATACTCTGCGACAGCTTATTCTTCGTGCTGCGTGCTGCGACTCCTTGGCATCGCAAGGTGCACACAGCAAAGAGAAAGGAAGATGGATTGGAGAGATGTCCAATGCGGGATGCGGAACTCGCAGATGGCGGCCCTGGAGTGGATGCGCCAGCACCGCGGGCATCGCGAGAATGGCCCGTCCGTGGACCCCCCGTTTCCGCCCTAGACCGATTCGGGCCGCTTAGCATGTGTTTGAGGTTTCGGGAGCACAGCACAGAGAGATTCTGTTAGAGAGAGGAGCCCTGAGAAAGGTGAGAGGGCGAAAGGAGACTGAGATCTGGCACTCGGACACCACTGCCAAGAGATCCAACGGTCTCCGAATCAACCTCTTTGGTCCTCGCGCGACAAGACTTCATACAACGAGGCCCCGACCTCTCCCAAAGCAACAAAGGAGAGGAAGACAGTCACTTCACATAACAAAAGTGAGGCTTCGACTTCTTGGCACTGAGAAATCCGAATACAACTTCAAGAGACAACAGATGGTATCGAGAGACATCGAAAACGAAAAAGTTTCAATGTTCCAGCGGACCTCCCGGCATGCGGTCTTGGTCTTTTGGGCCGAGCGGACTCTACCTTCGTTCCTTTCCCCAATGCCGAGCCGGCCGTGATGGATGCTGATCAACCCCTCCCCATGTTTCTTTACCCGCCCCCTCCTCTCGGTGCTCCCCACGCTTCTTCATCAGCTCGCCGAGAAGTCCAAAGGTGGGCTTGTTCAAAGTGGGGAGGACGCTCAGCGGGCGCTGAACAAGCGCGAGCAGAAAAGCAAGATTCATCGCTGGCAAGAGTGTCGAACTAAAGGGGATGAGCGGTGATTACATGGCATTTACGGCACCTCCTCTCATTTCGTACTTTGCTGGGAACGGCCTTGTTTGTGCCTGTTGCCCCTCTACCTCCATACTCCGAGGTGGGGTGGACGACGAACTCGGAGGACTTGTAAGTGGGCAGTCGTCATGCCGATGCCATTTCATCAAGGTGAGTACTACCTACGTGTGTAGGAGAGCTTTCTTGAACACCAAAACTCTGGTCGTGGGTTAGCACGGCGGCCGCGGCGGACGGGAGATTTCGTCACCGCATGTGCTTGACGACATGGCGGCACCTCTATGGCGTGTCCATGACCATGGTAGGAAAACCCCGCCATGAAGCGTGGGATGTCAGATGTGAGGTGATATTAGCTCTCCCCAACTCAGTCCGCATGCGCGTTGAGTTGTCGTGGCTTTCCCCCATTTTGACCCATATCCCACTTCCTTCCTTCCAAGCGACTTACAAGCCCGGAGTCTCGGAAATGTCGCCAGAGACTCAAAAAGAGGACAGAAAACCCCCGCGTCGAAATCCCTGATCTACTCGCTCCCCCTGCCAGCTTTCCTGTCGGGGGAGGTCGGTCGGGTTATTCGACCCCGCATTCTGGGACGAGGAGGGGGAGAGAGAGAGAGAGAGGACGAAGCGACTGCGACGCACGCCAGCTGTCCCCCATCTCCAAACGTTGAACCTTTCTTCACGCGGTAGCGGCGCGTAGCGTTGGAAATTTAAGTGGTCAACATTGGCAAGTTGCATACGAAGCCCGCCGCCAGCCTCAGAGAAGGGGAACAAGAAAAAAGAGCCACGCAGCCAAAAAGATCGACAGGTTCCCCCCAAATCCGGGGGCCCAAATCATTTCCCAGTCGTTGATCGATCGATTTGGGGTTTTTTAGGTATGATTTCTGCTAAGCTTATGCACTCGTGTCGTCAAGCTCACTGCTTCTTCTCCCGCGGGGGAGCAAGTAGCGAAGCTAGCAAAGCGAGAAAGGCGTAGACGGAAGTGTTAGCCATTTCATTAGAGTTGCAGTGTAAGCTTCTACTGCTTTTGCGTTGCTCTTGTTCTGTTAGTGCAGTCTTCTTTCCAATACCCTATTCCAGGTTTTTGGGGTGTTTATTCTCTTTCTCGGTGTCGTCGAACTACTTCTACTAGTGTAAAGTAAAGCACACCCACACACATAGCCTTGGGATACATAGCTTGGTGTGAAAGAGCTGTCTTGACACATGAAAATGTGACAACAGTAGCTTTGCTGAACGCTGTGTGTCCGTGGGCGGTCAGAGTTGGGGGGAGGGTTGCAAGCGCACGCGACGATTTGCGACGATCACCCAACTCGTGGTGCGTGGGCAACCCAAATCCTTGGGGAAGTTGAAGCCCACCATCTCCCAAAGGAATCGAGAGCTATGCTACTGGACATCTTCGAAGAAGGAAGAGCGGTGATTTCCCCCCCTCCATTTCATCCTCCTCCCCCCCTTCTGCGACAAAACCAATCGCACTAAAGGAGAAAGCTCCGACACTCTGGAGACGAAAGGAATGGGAGGTCTGCCGGACTAGCGGTAGCGATTCCCCCCTTCTACGCTTCACCACCACCACCACCACCCCTCCTTCTCGTCCTTCACCGCCGGGACTGCTGTATTAGAGTGGTG